CATGTGAATACGACCCGGAAGACTCCCAGACTGTTCTCACTTTCGCCGGAGTGAAAAACCCCTCCCTCATCTGCTTGAATGCGAAAGGGAGCACGGGAAGAGCAGCAGATGGACTCGTTGTGTCGACGACTAGCGTCACAGCCCGGAAACGACTACCGATGATCAAATGGAATCTTATTAATAATGGAACGAAAACTTCCAGATAATCGTTGTGCCAGCCACGCTCCGGAATTCCGCTATGAACATCTGTCATGACTCGACATGACACGTGGACGTCGAGCGAACGACGGAACAAATCAAGAGAAACTCCTGGACACGGGGACGTCGAGATCTCGCGGGACATTCGGGAGTATGGTCGATCGTGCAACATGTGCCAACGCGTGAACCAGGGACCACAACTCGAGAAGGCACTCTGCAACCTCCCGCAATCCCGGACCCTCCGGATACGACAGTCTCTCTCGTCCACTTCGGACCACTGGAAGAAAGCAACAGTCAAAAGTATGGCCTCGTTTACATCGATCACGCGACTCGCTATACTGACGCTGTTGCCGTGCCTTCTACAGCTGCCCACTTTTATGCCGACTGCCTCTTGAATCGTTAGATTCCGAGATTCGGCGTGCCCACGACAATCGTCACCGACCATGCTAAAAGCTTCGTCAACGAACAGACTGCCGCTCTGTTCAGACGACGAAAGGAATCACGCACATAATCCCATCACCCTACTGGCCTCAAGCCAACGGTCTTGTCGAACGGATGGTAGGGACGTTGAAAAATACAGTCCGGAAACTCAATGAACCTCACAAGAATTGGGAGAAGGTTCTACCCGAGGCAGTTTTCTCTGTCAACGTTGCGCGACAGAGCTCGTCACGCTTCAGCCCCTTCGAACTCAGGCACGGTAACGTCCCGAAACTTCCTAGACAGCTCTACATCAGAACAGTTGAAGCTGACCTAGACGAGACAATCTGACTCCACAAGTTGGCGAGACAGCGGCACGACGCGAAAGACAACTTGGAAAACTCTCGTGTTTCGGCCAAAAACCGGTATGACGCAAGGAGCAAGACTCCGAGATTTAAGATCGGCGACTCCATGGGCGTACCAACCAGGGGGGGGGGGGGGGGGGAAGGGGGGGGGGGGGCAAGGGGGGCGGTTGCCCTCCCCAGTTCTCAGAGTGGTAGTGCAAGGCATGTGTTTTGCCCCCCCCCCCCCCCCCCCCCCCGCCCTTCCCTGAATAATAATAATAATAATCTTTATTAGCACAAAGAGCAGACTGTGTCCTGGGGGGCGTGCGAGGCGAGAGCAGATAGGCGAAAGCCCGTACGCGAGAGCGTCTGCTGGCCAACCCCCCAGGAAACAAACAATAAAAACAGAAAACAAGCAATCAGAGAAACAACAATCAAGCAACTGGAAGAAAAAAGGAAAAAGATCACAAATTAAAAAAAAATAATCCAAGCAGTCTTAGTGCCGGATTTGCAAAACACTCTCCAAGGACAATAATGACCCCCCCCCCCCCCCCTCCTCCCACACACAGCACCACGAGGTGCAACATTAGGGCTCCCCACCCTGTGGTAGGAAGCTTGTCCCTTCACAAAAAGACGCTGTGAAGAAAGGGCGTGTGCGCCCCGTCTCCCAGCTCACCAGGGGTGGCATGTTGCGCCCCCCGGACCCCCAGGAAACCCGGAAGAAGGAAGTGACGTCAACAACGCAGCAAACGCAGATGGGATGTCGATTTTGTTTTCTTATGTCAACATCCAATCTGCGTTCGCCCTAGTCGACGACGCCAGCCCCATCCCCCCAAGCCCCCCAGGAGTCCCAAAAAGCGCAACATAGCACCCCAGGAGACGAGGCACACACGACCGCCCCCCACCGCAACACACACCACGTGATGAGTTAGGGACGTTGGTTGCCCCGGGCTCGCGAAAACGCCCGACACAGAAGCACAGAGTCCTGCCTGTCTTGAGGTAAAGGGACACGTATGTCTAGGGGAGCCGCCAGGAAAGCTTCAATTGCAGCTGGGACAAAAGAGTGGCCATGTCGGAGTGTGCGCGCCCTTAGCTGCTCAGGTTGCCCGGAACGCCTGTTAATCCGAACAACATTCTCCAAATAAGTGTCACACATTGAGCCGTCCAGGAGTCGGCACAAAAGTTTGACACGCGCTACGACCCGCCGGTGGTCAAGAGAATGCCAGTTCACTCCCCTAAGACGATCCTCGTACGACTGTGACCTGGCAAGTGGCCAACAGGTGCGTGCCAGGAGAGTCCGTGTTGCACGACGCTGAACTCCCTCCAGGCGCTGTGAGAGGTGAGCTTGATGGGGGCTCCAGATGGCCGCACAATACTCGAGGCGTGGGAGTACCAGGGCCGTGTAGAGTACTCGAAAGGCCTCCGGGCCACAAAAGCGCGAGACCCTGGTAACGAATCCAAGAGTTCTGCGAGCCTTCGCCACAATACTCGACACGTGGATGGTGAAGTCGAGAGTGGGAGTGAGCGTGACCCCCAGAATCTGGAGATGTGTAGCCACCGGTACAGGGGTGGCAGACATCGAGTAGCATGGGGGCTGCACTCTCCTTTGTGCGCTGAAGCGCATAGCGGCACTTTTGGCATGGCTGAATCTGAGGTGGTTGGCAATGGACCAGTCCACGACCTGCGTCAAGTGATCTTGAAGGAGATGGTAGGATGAGGGTGAATCCAGACGAGCCAGAATGGTGGTATCGTCGGCGTACTGAACCAGGAGGGTACCATCATGCTTTGGCATGTCGTTGACGTATATCGAGAAGAGCGTGGGTCCTAGGACAGAGCCCTGAGGCACTCCCGAGGGTACTCGATAGTCGTCGGATGTCGATCCGTGGAACACAACTCCATGTGAGCGCCCGATGAGGAAATGTGCGACCCAGCGAAGCATGGAGCCACGCACGCCAACCCCGGCAAGCTTCTTGATGAGAAGGTGGTGATCAAGCGTGTCGAAGGCGTCGCTGTAATCAAGCTGGATCAGGTCAGTAGGAGTGCGGGCGTCCAAGCCATCACTGATGTAGTGTGTGATGGTGGCCAGGGCAGTGTCGCAGCTCCTACCTGGCCTGAATCCATGCTGTGACATGGAGAGGGTTTTGCAGTCGATCAGGTAGTCCAAGAGACTCCGATTGACTAGTCTCTCGAAGGTCCTGCAGAGGATTGATGTCACGGAGACCGGTCGATAGGAAGAAACATTATTCGCCGGCTTGCCTTTGCCCTTGTGGATGGGCGTCACCAGGGCCCTCTTCCATGAATCTGGGACCACAGCACTGTCCAGTAAGGACTGAAAGATGTTGATAGGAGATGGAGACGCCTGCGGGCAGAGCATCTTGAGAAAAGCAGGCGGCAGGTTGTCGGGGCCCGGCGAGAGAGAGGGCTTAATCTGACCCAAGGCATCATTGAGGTGGTCAAGTGTCAGGGTGATGTCAGGCATAGGCATGTTGGGGCACGCTGTGCTCTCCTCAATGTCTTGTACCAGAGAGTCGATGCAGGGTGGAGATGAAGCAGCATTGAAAACACTAGAGAAGTGCCGAGCGAACAGTTGTGCAACGTCACGGGAGGACGCTACGCTCCCATTATCTGTCAAGAAGCATGGCTTGCTGCTGCTGGTCTGCAGCCTGCTCATATAAGACCAGAACTGCTTCGGGTCCTCTTTGGCCTTAAGAGCAATGTTGCGGGCGTAATTGGAGTGAGCAGTGTGAATAGAGGACTTCAGTGCTCGCTGAAGATCTTTCGCTGCCTTTAGCGTTTCTGCACATTGCAACCGTGCCGCCTTTTTGAAAAGCGCCCTTTTGCGACTGGCGGCTTTGATAATGTCAGGTGTTATCCAAGGAGCCCTCTTCCGCCGGGTTGACCGAAGTGAGTGGGGGACGGAATCATGCTGAATGGCACAGGCAAAGTCACACCACAGATCGAAGTTTGAGAGATAGTCGCTGCCCATAGTTGTCATACCCCAAGGCGCAAAGTGGGCCAGGCTTGCAAGGTGAGCGTGATCCGTCTCGAGGAGTGCGGGCAAAGTGGCCCTTCCGGGGCAGAGAGGTGGCAAACGATACCTCCACAGCCATGTGATCACTTCCACTAAGTCCAGGATAGACGTCGCAGGAAAGGATCTTCGTGAGATCGGTGGTGAACACCAGGTCTGGGAAGCTGTTCCGTGGCAGGTAGGTGGGGCTGCGGCAGACCTGGAAGAGTCCAGCTGATGACGTTGCGTCTAGGAGCAGGTCGTCGAAGGCGTCACCAGGAACCGGTTCGTCATTGCTCCACCAGTCGATGTGAGAGTTGAAATCCCCGATAAGCAGGATGTCCCGATAGGGTTTCAGCAGGGCACGAGTTACCGAAGCGTCAAGTAATTGGTAGGCAGAGTTCCGCGTCGAAGGCACACACTTGAGTAGAACAGTGCCATGAGGCAAGTGAAGCTCGAGGAAGATCGCCTCCAGGTCGGGGTGTTCGAGGTCGTACCTTCTATCAACTGTGAGGTCGGACGGAGTGGCGACCAGTACCCCTCCTCCCCTGCACTCCCTGTCTCTCCGAAAAATGCTATCCGGTGTGCCTAGAAGCTCACTGTCGTGCACGCTGGAGTCAAGCCAGGTTTCCGTAAGCAGAAGAATCGCATTGTCAGGCAGTGAACTTGCGGTGGCATGAAAATCTTGCATTTTGTTCTTGAGGCTGCGACAGTTGGTGTACCACAGGGTGAGTGCCTTGTTCACACCTTTTGCTCTCGGCGCACGTACACTGTTCTTACGAGGAGGCCGGCGAACACCGCCGTCGCCGCGGGTGACAAGGGGGCCGGCGACTTTGGGCAAAGTCGCAGGTGGAGGCAGAGGAACTTCAAAGAAGTCATCAGAAAATTGGGGTAGCGAACAGACCAAGCAGAACCACGGGTCGCTGGAA